CTTAAAATGTATATTTATGTAGATTCTGAGCTTAAAGCAATTCTGGAACATTTGGCAAGTAAGATCGATCAAGGGAAAGATAAGAGATCGAATTGTCTAGTGAGGCCATGTGAGTGCATATTAGATATTATATGATGTTTAATGGAAATAAGACTTGCGACAAGTTTATTTCCAATAGTATTATGCATGAATTCATGAATCTGAGCATGTGTTTGCTATATGTGTGTCACGATTTGTATGAATATATGTTAGTGTGATAAGATATAGGGACCAATATAAGTAAGATATATGTTTACATAAATTATATGATGATATCAGAATAGATATGAAATTATATGAGTATTAAAGATAAGTCATGTGATAAGATTTATGGAATTTATGGAAATGAAAATATATGAATAGGAAGAGTTATAAGAGAATAAATACAAGTTATATGATAGTATATGTGAATATATGATTATAAGATAAAATATGTAATAACAAGAGAAATATGATGAAAGTGAATTCCTGAGAATAATAGGAACTAGGTAAACATGTGTAAAGGTTATATGAATAATAGAAACATGAGTTAGCCCAATACATAGTGGTATGATCAATTATGAGAATTAATGTATTAGAGTTATAGGATTTATGGAGAGTTGAAGAAAACTAGATAAGATTGAATTATAGAATAAACTGGGAATAATATATCACTTAGGAAACTTGAATATAAAGTGATGATATGCACCTATAAAATAAGATATATATTTATAAATAGGACATATGTTATGTAATATTAGTGCATACCCAGAAATAAAGAACAAGATATATGATATGATATAAACTATATTATGAATTAGTGATGTAAGAATGTGATATAAATATGAAATAAAAGTTATGCATTATATGATAAATATGAACATATGAGAATAAGAGATAAAATAAGTGACTTTGTGATAGAAGCTATATGACCATGAATTTTGTAAATAGGAACAATTTAAGTGCTATATGACTATGAGTATTTGAATATGTATCTATGTGATGTGATTTATGAGATCATATGAAATATTATATGACGTAATTATATGAAAAAGAATATATGTGCATGTGAATTATATGGAAATGAACTACGTGACTGGATGTGATCTTATGAAAATTGATAATGAGCTATGTGAAAGAGCTATGAGACTATGTGTATATGTGGTATGAATATGTGAATGCATAATAATATGAATATTACTGCCCATGTTATGTGTCATGAGAGCTAGAGGTATAGTTGGCATGCTAAGAGTCGAGGGTCTACGCGGTCCTTCGGGACATATATGTATTCTTTGGAACATGTGTGAGGTCTTTTGTGACACATACTTGATCCTTAGCATATGTATATGATTCTTAAGGAATTTTTTCTATGTGGTCCTTAGGGATATCTTATATGGCACTTCGATGCATTTCTATACGGCACTACGGTGCAATTCTACGTGGCACTTCGGTGCAATTATACGAGCTGTGGTGACAACATTAGTGCACAACCTCTATAGACTCACATATCTATAGTTCTCACATGTGTACATGGGCTAATAAAGAAGATGATATAAAAGAACCTTGTATGATATTATGTGCTTTGTTTGTAATCTTTATGGTGTGAAATGATATATGTGATATGATGAGGTATATATATGTATATAACTTGGTTAAGAAGAATAGGTACAAGAACATATGACTAAAAGATAAAGAACGAATATAAGACTATTAAAGATATAATAATAAACTTATTACATACGATTTATATGCTTTGTGTTATGAAATGTGTGACCAGAATTGTATGATGATATGTGTGTTTCTTTGTGAAGCAATATGTATGTGTATGATATACAAAATGTAATAAGTATAATATATATTAAAACTGAGTAATAAAAATAAGTAAAATGAAATGGTATGTATATATATATATGCTTTTATGTTTGGATGCATTCTATAGTTTATTATGATTACATGAAATGTGCATAATAGGAATTAGTTTTGATATGCTACATTCAATTTATTTATGCCTCACTAAGTCATCGACTTAGCATGTGAGTGTTTCACACGCAGGTTATGGAAAGTGAAAAGAGAAGCTGAGAGGAGCAAGACAGGTCAGCATCTCCCTTACAAAATTTCAGATTAGAAAATAAATAATTTAAATGTGTTTGGTTAATTGGAATATAGTTGGCATGTACTAATATATTGAGTTGAATAAGCTCTGATCGATTTTGATTATTTTGGTCAATTTATGTAAATAACCGCTTTTATTTTAATGAAAGTTTTAAATTTTCTTTGAAATTTGTCAAGAGTCAAAGTTTGAAAAGTCAATGTGACACCTCAGAATTCGTATTCGGGTCGGGTACGGGTTGGGAATGTTACATTTCATATCGTATTCAGAAATTCTTTTCATATTTAAAACAATATTAAAATCCATATAATAGTATAATATGAAATTAGTCATAAGAAAGGTTCATATGATATATATATATATATATATATATATATATATATATATATATATATATATATATATATTTATCAGAAAACCATATAAAACACATACAAAAAAATACCGGTAATATAAATATATCGAGACGGTTGCAAATATATGTGGCACCAAAGTATAACAAAAAACCATATAAAGATATACAATGGTACAAAAATAGAAGTATTCGATCCTCATGATGCCAAGTCTGCTAGCTTACGGTCTGCTACTATCTGAAAATGTTAAAATTTATAGAATGAGATAAAAAGCTCAATGTGCTCCTTACGATGTATAAAAGCATACTAATAAAATACTCCAGTAAAAATCAATTTATCAAACATGTTTTAAAAATATGAATACTACCCTCATCCGATCACTAGAATGTGTAGGTTCTCCAGAATCATACACGCACCTATACACCTGGTAAGAACTTTATACATATAGCATAAGGACTTGCGGTTAGGACTTACCCTGTGCACAAAACAGAAGAGCCTATGGTAAGGTCTTACAAGTCATATACTAGGCCTGATATACTTCCTCAAATAATACCCCCCAATGACAGTAATAAAAATGTATGTATTCAAGTGAAAACGGTAGGGACATTTGTGTACTTTACCCTAAAATGTACACAAATTCCTTCCATTATTTTATTAATATGTCAATATAATTCATTATACAAGGTTGTAATAATTATTTAAGTTGCACCATACATAGGATATCTAGAGTTATTAAATGTACAATTAGGATAAATATATATTTAACTTTAAATTTAAAAAGTATGATTAATAGATAGTTAGATTTGTATAAAAGATTAAATTACATAAAATTCAATCCTTAGTATTAATTATAATTGTATCAATTAGACTAATAAGTTTTACATTTTAGAATAAAGTATACAAATGGTCCATAGATTATAGGTTACTACTTTTTTGAGTTCTTAAATTTTTAAAAGTTTCAAAATGATCCTCTGACTATAGAGAGTTACTTTTTTGTGTCCTTTAACTATTAAAAGTTACAAATAGCCACCTGACTATTCATTGTGTCAAAACTCATCATTTTTGTTAAATATTTGACGGTATTCTGAGTTGAACGTTAACCTGCTGATTGTGATATGATAAAATCTAATATCTGAATCTCAAACGACTATCATATCTCATTCATCATTAGACAACCGCCAATTTTTAATGAAAAATGATGACTTTAGAACATAATGAATAGTTAGGTGACCATTTAGTAACTTTTAATAGTCGACGAACGTTCTATAGTTGGAGGGTAATTTTGTAACCTTTAATAGTCAATGAACTTAATAAAGTAGTACCCTATAATCAGAAACCGTCTACATACTTTACCCTATATTTTATTACTAGTTTTTTCAACTCAACATATACACAATGTAAAACTCTTTAGCTTTACACAAAAATTATGACCGTTGGATTAGTAAAAATAGATGACTGAGATTGATTCCTTATTTTTTCCAATAAATATATTCACATTTTCTATTTTTAATCTCAGTCATTTGTTTCCACTCATCTAACGGTCATAAATCTGTGTAAAACTAAAAGCGTTTTACATTGTGTAACAAGATCTAATTACATTGTGTAAAACTCTTTTAGTTTTACACTTTTTTAGGACCACTAGATGAAAGAAATTAAAGGTTAAGACTAATTGCAGAAAATGATAAGATATTCACTGAAAAAAAGTGAGGAGTTAATCTCAGCTTTTGATTTCCCTCAATCCAACAAACATAAAAAGATGTAAAACTAAAAGAGTTTAACACAATGTAAATGGATCATATATATATGTATGTATTATTTTTAATTAATTTGGGTAAGTACAAGGTAGTATATGTTCAAAGATAACTCTCAATCATTTAACATTGAATACTCACACCCCTGGCATTCCTGATGCTCAAACTCAGGACCTCAAGGAATAACAACAATTCCTTTACCACTAAGGTTGCTCGGTTCGTGCCAATTTAATTCAAATTTATAACCTATAAGTAAATATCTTTTAACTCATAATAAAATAATAATTTTTCTTTTTAAGGTTGTGCTTTACTATTTAGGATTTAAGATTTAAGCTTTAGGGTTAGGATCTACTTACATTATGTAAAACTATTAAGTTTTACATCAATTTATAGCCATTTGATTTAAATAAATAAATAATGACTTAGATTTAGTTAAATTTATAACACATAAATAATTGTTTTTTGGATAAGTAAATTATATTCATCCAAAAAGAGTGCAGCAAGCTGCTACAAGAACAAGGCAAAATTCAACACTATATTAACCCCAATTTATACCCACTTGCCTACTTACATCATCAATCCCCTTTATACTATAGCTATATAATTTGATTTTTACAGCATCTTTAATACTACTCACAATCATATCAACAGAACGAGAAACACCCCTGAAGCTTTTGTGGTTACGTTCCTCCCAAATATGGTACAAAAAACCAGTCCAGCCGAGCTTTAGAATTCTCACCCTGAGAGATTTACCCTTCAAGTTAACAATCAACCATTGAAGGCGATCATTCCATTTAAGCGAAGCAGGAAGAATCCCACAGGAGACCTACACAGCATTCCAAGCTTCTTGAGCAAAGGAGCAATCAACAAAGAGATGGTCACGGGACTCAATCCCAGACCCAAACATGACACATCCATTATCCAAGACCAAATCGAATCGAATCGAATCAGCCTATCTCTCGTAGGCAGTCTATCAAGGATGGCCATCCAAGCAATAAAGGAGAATTTCAAAATATGAGAAGGAAACCAAATGATCATGTGCCAACTAACTTTCTCTGCACGAACTCTAATATGGTCCCAAAGCCATTTACCCTTGATCAGGTTCCAATTAGCACAAGGAATAAACAAATTCCTAGCCTCCTCATGAAGCTTCAGCAGCTTTTTCAAAATCCAGTTGAAGTAGGCTTTGTACTCAACTTCCCAGAAGCTTACAGCTTTAAGACAGTATGCATGTAACTATGCAATCTAGAGTGAGCCATCATTTGCCAGAATTTTCTTAATGAGCAATAGGCAGCAAGCCTTACTCCAAAGAACAAGACTTCTTAGACCCAGACCCCCCTCAGACCTAGGTGAGCAGACCTGGCTCCAACTTACACGAGCATCTCTGGCAAGGGCATCACAACCTTTCAAGAAAAACCGCATGCAAAGCCTCTCAACATCATTGATGATCCCCTTGGGGAGAACAAGCTGCCTGCTCCAGAAATTAAAAATACTGAACATGACAATTTTCACCAACTGCAGCCTGCCACCAAAGCTGAGCTTTTTGCTAGACCAATGAGCTAGTTTACCTTTAATACGTTCCAAGAGAGCAGAGCAGTCCTTCCCTGTGAGTTTACGAGTGACAAGGGGTACTCCAAGATACCTGATAGGGAGCTACGCAATCTTAAATCCAGTAGCTTGATGGATCATATCAAGAGTGTTTATGTTTAAGCCACAAGCAAAAAATTCTGTCTTCAATGCATTTAGATTTAATCCTGACAGTTCATAGAAAACCTCTAAAGTGCTTTGCACTCCCAACACAGACTCAAGGGAACCATGGAAAAAGACTAGCAGATCATCCGCGAAGCAAATGTGAGTGAGAGAGACTTTCTTGCACTTAGGATGGAATCTAAAAATTCCTCTCTTGGCAGCAACATTCAACAGGGAGGATAGGACATTCATTACAATAACAAAAAGATAAGGGGATAGAGGATCCCCTTGCCTAATCCCTCTAGCCCCTTGAAAATACCCCACTAAACTACCATTCAAGCAAACAGAGTACATAGGGGTGGTAATACAAGCCTTGATCCAATTAAAAAACACATCAGGCAACCCCATTGCCTCAAGAACAGACAGTAAGAAATTCCAATTAACAGAATCAAAAGCCTTTTGCAAGTCAATTTTTACAGTACATCTAGGAGAAAGATTTTTCCTAGAATAACCCTTTATTATTTCCTGAGCTAACAGGGTATTGTCGACTATGTTTCTACCCTTGAAAAAAGCTAATTGATTGCATGAAATCATGCCAGGGAAATAAGGGGTAAGTCTATCAACAAGAATTATGGTGATAGTTTTATATACAACTGAGCAGCAAGAAATAGGTCTAAATTCCTTAGCTAAGGTAGTATTTGGGGATTTAGGAACCAAAACTAGGGCTGTGGAATTGAAGGCATACAATAAGTAGGAAGTATGGAAGAAATACCTCACAGCAGAAGTGAAATCACTGCCAATAATGCTCTAGGCAGCTTTGAAGAAGCCAGTAGTGTAGCCATCAGGACCTGGCCTCTTATCCTCCCCTTGTCTGAAGAGAGCCTCTTAGATCTCCACATCACTCACCTCCTTAGTAAGACATATATCAGCACCTTCAGGCAAACAAACATTAATCAAGCTCTTTAGACTTTCAGCAGAGTAGCCTTTAACTGAGGGGTCAGGAGAGCCAATGAGGTTAGTGAAAAAACCCACTAACTCAGCAGCCATATCTTTAAAAGAATCACACAACTGCCCATCCTCACTTTTTATAACTCTAATGGTGTTTCATTTTTTTGTTAGCCTGAACCTTCTGATGAAAAAATTTTGTATTCAAATCCCCCTCTCGAAGCCAGTGTGCTTTAGCTTTCTGTTTATAGAAAGTAGCTTCAGCAGTTTCCAAATCCACAAGTTCAGAGTGAACCATACTCTCTTCATCAATCCTTCTTTGAGATGTGTGAGCCAGATTAAAAGTTTGGATATGTTCCAATTCAGCCCTTTTAGCTTTGACTCTACCAGAGATGTCAGAGAAAGATTCATTGTTAAGTTCCTTAAGTAATGGCTTAAGCCTCCTCAGGTTATTGAAAAAACAACACATAGTAGAGCCAGAACATTGTCTATGCCAAGAGTCTCTAACAATAGCCAGGAATCTATCATGGCCAGTCCAATAATTGAAGAACTTAAAGGCTTAGGGTGCTTGGTCATTGCTGCCTTGTCTGACCACATTAAGCCTAAACAATGATCAGAGACCCCCTGGGCTTTATAATCTACAAAAGTGTCTGGGAAATCCAATAACCATTGATCATTGACTAAAATCCTATCAAGCTTGCGGGCTAAGAAAGAGCCATCCTGCTTGTTGGACCAGGTGAATAAAGGCCCAAGAAAAGGATGATCAATAAGGTCTAGGCTCTCCAAACACTCCTGAAAATCCTTCATATCAGGGGTGCAGTAGACTCCCATGACATCAAAGTCAGAACTCTCCTCAGCTTTGGAAATGATATTAAAGTTCCCACCCACCAGCCAAGAGGAAGGACCAATGTCCCTATCAACAACACTAAGATAATCCCAAAGGCCCCTTCTAGCAACACCATTGTTACTGACATAGACAACAGTAATGGTTGTCATGTGCCCATCAACAGCCCCAATGATAGTTATAGCCTGGTCACAACAGCTCAAAACATTGAACAACAAATACTTCCTCCAAAAGATCCAAAGCCTACCTCCCTCAACAAAATCATAGTTCTCAGCATAATTCCAGTCACCAACCAATGCATTAGAAAACCTATCAGAATTAGCTCTTTTAATGCGAGATTCCATCACACAAAAAACATCCACACCACAAGCATTAAATCTTCTAATCACCTTCGACTGCTTAAGGGGGTTATTAATCCCCCTGACATTCCAAAAAGCAACCAACATTCAAGATAGAGGAGGTTGAGTACTACTGCCAGTGCTCGGAATACCCACCGTACACCTAGTTTTCTCAAGATGATCTTTTTTCTTAGATTTGATCTCATTGAGCAATATTTCCACACCCATAGAAGCCACCCGGGCTTTCCTAGGACCTTCAACCATAATCTCCATTTTATTAGAAGAGCCAATAACGTATTTTTTCCTTCCCTTAGTCCTCTTTTTCAAGGAGTCTTGGAGGGAAGGGAAATCCCCATATTGGACCACTTCCTGTAGCTGACTCACCAAACTACCCTCAGTAACATGGTCCTTATCCTGCTCACAAGGGTCAATCACCTTCTGGGGCACAGTACTCGACAAATCAGCAGCAGGATACTGTGAGGGAAGTAACAACCTGCATGGCTTCCTTCAAAATAGGCACAGTAGCCTTCTTCAATGCATGTACTGTTGTCTCAACAACTACACCGACTTGCAGACCACTCACCATTCCTTCTGCATTGTTATTTACTCATCCAGAGAGAGAATCTATCATCTCCTTGGAACTGTTAACTGAACCAACAATCTCTATAGCATCAGGAGAAGTTTCTGGTAAGTCCCCCTTACTTACAGGCGCTATAACCTCCTTTTTCCTCCATACTTGAACCTCTTTGAGCTTTTGAGAAATTTGCCTATCCACAGAACAAGAATTGACATTGTGTCCAAATGATTTGCATTTATCACAGCACTTGGGCAACCAAGGCACATGCACTTTAATACCAACAGAGGATCCATCACTTAGAATAACATGAATAATATCAGGTATGACAACCCCTGCTTCAACCTCCACACAAACCTTGGCAAATTTGAGTCTATTCTTTGAAGCTGTAACCGAATCCATAAACAGAGGGTTACGTAAGGCACTCTCTATGTAATTCAAACCCTTCCGAGAATAGAGCTCTAAAGGAATATTATAAAGCTGGATCCAAATTGGCATAAAGGAAAGATCAAAACTAAGCTTCTGCATACCAGGGATCCAATTCCTTAATACCAATGGCTTGTTCTGGACATGCCAGGGTCCATTATCCAGAACCCAGTCCCTCAGGCCAGCATCCAAGAATGAAAACACATAAAGATTAGGGCCGGCGAGACTTACCTTAACCTGCGCAGAATTCCCCCAAATTATTTCAATGATTCGCTGCATAGATTCGAAACTCGGGGCTGAACCAATAAATTCCCCTACAAGAGCATTATTCTAATCAGCTATACCTTCATCGATTACCTCAGGCGGAGGTATAACAGTGGCCACTCCATCGCGTATCTCAGGGGGAAAGAAGTCGAGGGACTGCTCCTTCGATCCCACGAATAGCTTCTTCCAATCAAGGCTCAAGGATTGTGATTCCATACAGCTAATAAGAAGAAAACCTAAAAATCTCACTAAAATCAGTAACGAGGAAGAAAATCTGAGAGACCATTAGGCCTGCTAATGTGCACCCAGAGCATTTCCATCGTTTTTAACAACTTTTTTCTTCAATAAATATTTCTTTAACTCGCAATATAATAATATTTTTCTTTTTAGGGTTATGGATTAGGATTTAGGGTTTAATATTTAAATTTTATGGTTTAAGATTTATGATTTAAGGTTTGAGATAAGATTTTTGGGTTTGGTGTTTTGAGGGTTTGAGATTTGAAATTGGGGTAAAAAGAAATACTATTTTACTATGAGTGAAAAGATATTTATTTACGAGTTATAAATAACTTGATAGTTGCCTTCCATTATTTTTATTAATATGTGAATATAGTTCATTATACAAGATTGTAATAATTATTTAAGTTGCAGCACACGTAGGATATCTAGAGTTATTAAATGTATAACTAGGATAAATATATATATTTAACTTTAAATTTAAAAAGTAGGATTAATAGATATTTAGATTTATATAAAATATTAAAATTACATAAAATTCAATCCTTAGTATTAATTATAATTGTATCAGTTAGACTAATGTCCTTAACCGTAAAAATATTATGATATAATTTTAGGTAAACTACATATTTAGTCACCCATATCACTTTAGTTCCATTTCGATCACTCCATTATTTTTTTAAAAAGAATATATAATGTTATATTTTAGTTTCGTTTCAGTCATCCGTTGTGAAAAAAAAGAGCAGCTGACGTTGTATTCTTTTTATTTTTCAGTGTTGACATGTCATTATCTTATGATTACACATCGGCATCAACGTTATTTTTTTAACACCGAGTGACCAAACAGAATCAAAATATAATTTTATGAATTATTTGAAAAAAATAATAGTTGAAAACGAAACTAAAATGATATTATAATTTTTCTTTTTGAACTTTTACTGACTTTAAACATTAAATATGACTCTTTAATATTAAAGAATTATTTTACTAGTACGAATTAAGGGTCTATTTGTTTCACTAAAAATATTTTCCAGAAAATGTTTTCTGTAAAATGAATTACATCTTTTGGAAAACATTTTTTGGAAAATGTTTTATGGTGTTTGGTAGATGTTGTGTAAATCATTTTTCACTAGTTGATAAATTTTTTAGAAATTATTTATTGCAAATATAAAATATAATAAATAATATTATTTATTATAAAAACTTAATATTATTATTTTAAAAATATTATAATAATTTATTTAATACTATTTATGCCAATATTATTATTAAAATATTATTTCTATAATTTTATAAATAAAAATATTAACTCTAGTATATTCTATTAAAATAAAAATATGATAAATTATATTTAATATCTATAAAAATAAAAATATTATATTATATTTTAAAATTATTAATAAATATATTTTAAGGAATTTTTATAATATTATTAGACTATTATATTAATATTAAATACATAAATAAAAGTATTCAATATTAATAATTCAATAATATTATTTTTAATAAATTAATAAATAATATAACTTTTATTAATAATTTATTATATATTATTAAAATAAGAATATAATATTATCATATATTATTATAATATAATTGAGTATATTATTATAATAATAATATTATTATATTATATTATTAAAAAATATTAATAAATATATTTTAAATATGTTAATAATTAATAGTTTTATTAAAATGATACTAAAATATCATATTAATATTAAATTTATAAAATAATATTATTTTGAGTATTTATATCAATGATTACTAAAAGCATTTGGGAGGAGATATGAGTTAAACACAGAAAGGTTCCATGGCACAAGCTTATTTGGTTTCCCCTTCACATTCCTAAACGCAACATTATCTCTTAGATGACTATCCTTGATAGACTACCAACTAGAGTGAGGCTCTCTTGAATGGGAATTACCACTACTCTTTCGTGTGTTCTTTACAACGACTCCATTGAATCGCGTAAACACTTGTTTGTTGATTGTACAACAACAACCAACTTATGGAAAGTTATTTTAAGTCTCAATCAACTAACCAAGCCTCCTATGTCATGGGATAATATGCTTCCATGAGCTATTTCTACTTGGAAAGGTAAATCTCTCCTAACTTCCATCATGAAGATTTCATGGTGTACCTTCATTTACACTGTTTGGGAGGAAATAAACAGAAGAATTTTTCAGGGAAGAGTTCGAACAGTGGAAGAGATGTTAAGTTCCATAAAGGATATTGTTGGTGCTCAACTTAGCAACAGAGACCTAAATAGACTTGAAAATGTTAACTCTCTTCTTTGTAACAGTTGGGGTATAGGCTAACCATTTTTTGTAGTACATAGTTTTCTTCGATCCTTGATTGGGACGTTTTGTATTGAACTCTTACTTGGATAATAAAATTTTATTTATCCAAAAAAAATTAAACCGTTAATAATTTTCCAGAAAATGCAAAAGAAATTATGTTGACTAGGAAAATGTTTTCCACTTACCAATATGTTTTCCTCCAACCAAACAATGAAAAGTGAGGAAAACATTTTTCGAAAAATAGTTTACGTGAAACAAACGGACCCTAAGTGATATCGGTGGTTAAATAGATGAGTTGTTATTCCTAGAGTTATTAGATTCAAACACAACAACTGAAGGTATGAACGTTTATTTTTGAATAATTGAGGGTCTTTTAAATATATATTACCTTATAATCACTCGTAGCTTATAAAAGAAGAAGAAAAAAGAACTTTTTTACTTTTATAAAATAGTTCTTTTAAGTATTTCTTTTAAAATTGTTTATAATGAACTAAAAACGTTTTTTTTTGCTTTTTAAAGATTATTATGACTGCTTTAGAGGATTAATAATCTTTAAATTTCAATGTTATGTGTATTATATACGGTCTAAATTTTAATATATAAATTGATAAAGTTGTGTAAATTTCAATTTACACCATCTGTGCATCATGTCATCAACAAATTATTCTGAATAAAATAAACTTGTTATAAAAGTAATATATCAACATATTATTAGTTAGGGTAAAGTATATAAATAGTCTCCGAATTTTAGGTGCTTGCATTTTGATCATCTAATTTTTAAAACTTGCAATACAGTCATCATACTTTTAATTCGTTTTCAATAAGGTACCTGCCTTTCCTCCCGTTAGTTTTTACTGACGTGGCACTTAACTTCTTAACCCTTCTTCTTTTTCTTGATGGTATGTATTTTTGTTACAGGCTCTGCTTGTGGTTGTGTCTTTCCGGCTGCAATAATCATTTTCTTATGAGACTTGTAAAAGTTATTGATCTGTGGACTCACCTGGTGATTGTGTTTGAGCTTCGACTGTTCTCCGCCTTTAGAGTCCACAAGCCTGATGACTGCCATTGCAGGACAACCAGTTATTGTTTCTGGTCTCGGATTGTTGGCTTCACTCTTTCTTGAAGCCTGAACTACTACAGCTAAGTTTTGCTCTATATCGCTCTTTTCTTTTGGTTGTAAACCACGAATTACTAACTACAATGCCAAAACCCTGCTCCTTAGCATAGATATTGTAGAAGTCATAAGCTTCGTCAACTGAATCAAACTCCAAACCAACAGTAGGTGGAGGTGGTTCTTTCTTCGAATGTTTTGCATCGTTTTCCTCCTCATGTTCCACGGCACTGCAGTCTCCCTCACCCTCATAGTCATCAACCACATCAAATACTGGCTCACTATTAAGACGGACTTCTTCCATCTGGGAAGCAAAATGATAAAAACATAATCAGTATTAGATATTGCTAACCAAGAAAATCAACTACACATAACTGTTCTACTTGGACTAAACATTGAATAAAACCAAAAATCCAACTTAATGTCGAAGACCAGACCAAACTCTATGGAGCTTCAACTCATAGAAGAATAGAATTTTCTTAATCAATGCTAATATCCAGTCACAAGGGTTTGGTAAAAGAAAAGACAATTACTTTTTTTTTACCTAGGAGGGCATAATTACAGTTATATGTCATTTCTACTACATGATCCCATGGAAAACTCAATGGCCTGTTTTCATGGAACATAACATGCATACCCGATAGAAAATAAATCATACAGAATGTAAATAAGGGAGTACAAACTAAACAATGAAATCATACCTTCAACTCAAAATATAACATTGTTTTTTATATTGTCCATGCCAAGGATCACGTCCATCGATTTTCCTATCAAACAATAATAAAGCAAAATACCCTGAAGCACTGAGAAGCCCATGGATTATATGCTTACAGTGCAAGCTTCCCCCTGTGGCATAGTTTTAATAACTATAGCAAGCCTACAACATTCTTTCACTGCAAAATGAAAACTTAACCTTAACTCGTGCAAAATGAAAATATTCTGCTTTCGAGGAAGAGAGGAAAAGGAGTTGGTTGATGGATTTGAGTGTGGGAGTGAAGTATCTTTTTAGCAATGTTTGGAGAGGTGGGATTCTAGTAATGGAAGAAGAAGAAGGAGGAGGGGTTAACGGAAGTTAAAGTGCCACGTTATAAAAAAACTAACAGGTAATGATATAATTTTATAAAAACGAACTAAAAGTTTAACGATTGTGTTGTAAGTTTTAAAAGTTAAACGATCAAAATGTAGTCCTAAAAGTTTAAAGATTATTTATATACTTTAGCGGTTAATATTTGTGATTTCAATTTATGAAAATATTTTTTTTTATAATTTTCATTTATTATTAAATTTATTTATGTAAGGTCATAATAAAAACTATTTAATCAAATCATTTATTTTCCTTTCCTTTTATGAGAGATCTTAAAGTTTGTTTGTTTATTATTATTTTATTTTTCTTAAGATTCATTTTCCTTTCTTTCCTCGAGAAATATCGTATAAAACCGGAGAAATTCTATAGCACGACACTCTTAATGTATAACTAAAAAAAATATTACCGGTTTTGTTATTATTTAAATAAAAAATTAGTAAAAAATTACCTAAAACATTATTATTTCTACCTAAAAGATCAATATTTTTTAATATTTTTGGTAAAGTGTCAAATAATAATAAAACCGATAAAAAATAACAAAATCGATAACGTTTTATCGATTAATAATAAAATCGATAAAAAAAATAATATTTCTGATAATTTTTGCTGATTTATTATTTAAATAATAATAAAATCGATAATATTTTTTTAACCGGTAAGATACTTTACTTGGGAAAAATATCAGTGGGATTTGGGAAGGGAAAGGCCCACCAAAAAGCAGTTGAAACAGTTAACACCACCCACATGGCAAGACGTGTATGGTGAAAGAGTGTCGGCATTAGCAAACTTAATGTTTGCTTTTCCCGCTTATAAACGGAAAGGTCAACTCATTGTCTTGTATTTCCTAAGATCAGATCAAATCAGATCGCAATTCTCATTTCTCGCTTACTTCACTCTTTTGTTGAGAATATGGACGGACTAATCAAGGGTCTCACCGACGTTATTATCGGCGATGCTGGCCGTGACGGAGAAAACGAGGCTCGAGATGAACGTTCCAGATCCAGCTGGGCGCAGGTGGTGACAGGGGATCAGGATGACGGAGCTCGTCCCCCGTCTCAGTGGAGAAAACAGGTTTTCCGTTTTATAATAGATATTCAGTCTTCTTGGATCTGAAATCGGAGTGAATTGAAGTTGTTGTTCACTGTTTTATTCTTAAAGCCGGGAATTCTATTGATTTCGTAGGAGCCTAATCAACAGGTTGACGTGGGTTCAAGACCTTCCAGGAGACACCGAGAGGTAAATTTGGATTTTTTTTCCATGGGTTTGGTTCTTAAAGTCGCATATATTCATTAACTCTTTGTTTTTGGTGATGGATATTTGAATCCTAAATCTAATGTGTTATTCTAATTAAATATCTATAAACCTCGAACGTAGACTGAGTATGGAAGATACGAGAAGGATGAGCGCGACGAGCGACAAGCTTATAACCAAAATGAGTGGAATCGGAAGGTTGCCTCTTGCTTTTAATTTACAGTTATTGTATCTTTGTTTTGATTAAATTGTTTTTGTGTATGCTCTGGTTGACCCGATTTAATTTTTGCACAAAGGAACAAGGAGAGGAGAATAATGATGGCTGGGAAACTGTTGGAAGAAAGCCACGAAGGCGACCACAGAAGGTGCATTCACTACTCTTTCTCTATCTTTTGACATGTCAAATTGTCGTGTTATGAATTTGTCTGCTACACAGGCATCATGCTGAGAATTATTAGGACCAGTTTGTTATTATTTTATGGATTTTAGACCAGTTTGTTATTAGTAGTCGAATAGTAGTTTGTTATTATTAGGACCAGTCTGTAATTATTTTATTGTGAGAATTATTAGGAACGAGTTTATTACTACCAGTAGATTCTATGTATTAGTATTTCATGGTCTTAGAAGCCTTTACTTTGTAGGTTTGCTTAGCAAGTCTTTTAGTCAAACAATGTATGCAACCTCTATTTAAAGAGCCTAATGTGCATCAATAAAATAAAATTCAGAGTTTATTAGAAATTTATGAGGTCTAAGATTCTCTCTAAACGAGTTTGAGGTCTGGAATTACCTTCGACGAGTTCTGTTTGATAATCATAGGTCATAATCCTGGAAGAAGTAAAAATAGGGAAAGAGACATTTGAAACGTCACCAGGGGACTTGATCCATTAGTTGGGACCGTAACATTACTTTAGGTTGTTTATTTCTTATTTGACCCCATACCAAAGAAATATCACAGCTCCAACCACACCCCAGGTAGCACCCAGTTGATGCAATAGTTCCGAAGTCATTCTCTTCAGCTTCATTAACATCTTCCAATTCCAACTGACATTCTGATGATCTGGCTGTTCTAAACTTCAACCCTTCCTATATCTTCTACGTTATCAACTATGTGAGGGTGCGACTTGGTAGCAATGTGAACTTGATCCTTTGTCACCGGAAGGTCATGGATTCTGCTAGTGGAAAAGGCCAGGGGAAATCCTGCATAAGATAAACGACTCTCCTCAAATCCTCAAAGTGAGGAGTCCTGTACACTGGGGAATGCCCTCTTATCAACTACGGGATTCATTGATGAATCCTTTTTGTTTTAGCTGGAGGGTTCTGTGATCATTCGCTTTTTTTTTTCTTTCTTTTTGAGTCACTGTGTCTAATACCGAATGGATGAAACATTTGCAGGTTCATATGGATAACTGGCAAGGGTATAAAAAGGCTCCTAGTGAGCAAGAATATGGCGATGAGGTTGAAACAGATACTAGCATTGAACCCTCAGAAGAGGAACTTTCTGACTTGTCACAAGCTTGCAACAGACTGTGGCAACTTGATTTTAACCGTCTGGTACCTGGAAAGGATTATCAGCTTGACTGTGGTGAAGGGAAGAGGGTACATCAGAAGGAAGATATGGCAGAAGAAAGCCTATTTTATTCTCTGAGTGAAGACGTTTTTAGAAAACCTACTTTCTCTCGTTTCTGTGCTCTCTTAGATAATTATAACCCAAATGCTGGGTGCAAAGAAGTTATTACAACTGAGGAGAAACAAGAGCAGTCTGCTTTTATAGAAGAAATCAGTAGAACTGCACCTATTAAATATCTTCACAAGTACCTATCTTTGAAGGGCATTGCATCTGATAACTATCAAGATTTCAAAAGAATGTTGACAAAGCTGTGGTTTGATCTTTATGGTCGAGGTGGAACATCTGGTTCCTCTTCTGCTTTTGAGCATGTATTTGTCGGGGAAATCAAGCAACGTGGTGAGGAAGAAGTTACTGGCTTCCACAATTGGCTTCAGGTGTGTTTTTAGTGTATTTTTTCCCTTGTTTCTCAATTCAACTAGGTTACTGCTAGCATTAGTTCATGACCTTGCTTCTTTTATATCACCTAGTTGTCTGGAGGCAATACTGAAAAATAATACTACTTATAGAAAAATGTTCAAGTTTATCTGTTCGAAGTGTTGGTTGCAATAAATTGGTGATACATCCTCAGTATAGTTGAAAGTATTTAAATATAAATTACTACTTACTAGTATTTAAATTCATTGTCAACCCTTGTCTCAAGAACACCTTAATACATTTTTTCTTTTTCAAGAAGTTGGTCTTTAGGTGCCTTGTAGACAGGTTTGCTTTTGAATTAAAAACATCATTTCCTTCTCTATAGATGTTTATTCCTAATGCCATATTTCATTTTCCAGTTTTACCTAGAAGAAGCAAAAGGAAGAGTTGATTATCAGGGTTATATATTACCCCGAAGACGAGGGGAAACTGTAAGTCTTCATCTTCAATCTTAATTCCAGTGTGATGCTCAGGTTACAGAGAACTAGGGAAAGAAGTTCAAATTAGACGTTTTTTTCCTGTTTTGTGTCTTTTAAGTCTTGTCTATGCATGCAAGAAAAGAATACAGTCACTTTGATCAAGTTTATAAAGACATTGAAGCTGTTTTTCAATATTCAACTTGTCTTGTACCTGTGTCCTTTTGCAGCCAGACTCTGAAACACAGTTGCTTACAATTCAGTTCGAATGGAATGGAGTTCGTAAAGCTGTGTCAAGTACATTGGTTGGGGTGAGCCCCGAGTTTGAACTTGCTCTCTATACACTGTGCTTCTTTGTAGGCGCAGAGGATAACTATGTGCAGCTGGGTCCATACTCTGTTAACATCAAGTGCTACCGGTTTGGAGATAAAATTGGTTCTGTGTTTCCAATAGCAGAATGTTGATTTCGAGCTGTGTATTATTATTATTACTCTGAAGCTATAAAAAGACTAAAGACATATGTTTCATGTTCCAAACATAAGTTTATGACATCTTAATAGATGTTTCTTGGATCATTTACTTGCAAACTTGGTATTAAGATATGTGTAAAACTATGCATTTCCCTATGGCTTAATCTTATGATGATTGAGGAGTCAAATTCTGTCTATAGTTGTGAGCTTCCATGTTTTGAGCATAATCTTACGAGGAAAGCAAGCTTATGAAGCCTAGTGAACTCTACTTGGAAACATGGCAATGGGGATGATAAGCAGATAAGTCGCATGGGAGTGACGTTTTATACATTGTAATACCAGAAAACTTTATCTTCAGTAAATCCAGTGTGATGGAGCTTTAATATTGAAAAACAGTTCATAATTCATGAAATCAAAGGGATTTGCATTAGTCTTATTGAGACTTAAGACCAGGGTAACCGAGTAGTTGCGGGTTAGTCATACGGATTATTATTGAGCTTGACTCAAAAGCTTGTAAGTGTAAATTTGTGAAGTTTAAAATAAAAATTAAAGCTCGACTCAAGCTTGAAAAAAATTAAATTCGATACATTCTCAGCTCGATTGAAGCTCGAATATGAACTTTAAGTATATGAAAAACCTTATATTGCATTTGAAAAAACAACATATAAATATTAATATGAATAATAATTTAATTTTAAAGTGTAAACTACAGAGTTGATCACTTTTGTTTCATTTTTTAAACGTATGGTCACTCGATCCAGTAAAATCAATACGTGATCACTTTTGATTCATTTTAATTAAGATGTGATCACTTAACTTATTGATCCATAAATATTTAGTCGCTAAGACTTTAACAGACGTTAAACCATTAACGACCGGATGACTTGGCACAATAATTAAATAAAATATAAAACATGTCATATCCACGTGGATTATATGTGGATTAAAAAATTGAGAGGATTTGTTGACCGACCGTTTGACTTCATTAGATTAACTTGACCCTTTTCTTTTAGGATTCAAAACCCTTTTTCTGATAATCAAATAAAAGTACAAAAAACTTTTCTTTGGGGATTGAAACGTTTAAAAATCAAAAGCGTTGAGGAAAAAAGCTTTGAGGGGAAAAATTATGTGGGAAAAAACCATATGTTGAGTGCTTTGAGGGGGTAAATCAAATCTGTTTAGGGTTGATTATTTGAGGGTTGGTAATCTCTTGTATTCTCCGGATGAAATCTAAACTTTTTGGGGTATTATTTGGGTAAAAGCATTAATGGTTTCTCTGGGTGTTAATTGTTCGTCGTATTGTCGGTTTAAAGTGGGTTTTTATTCTCTTGATATTTTTTGTCTGTATATAATATGTGGGTATTCTCTGTAATCAAATAATGCTTGATTTTTGTTGGTTTCAGAAGATGCTGGAAATAGGTTTCGGGAGAAGGGGATAATGTGATGGAGTATGGTAAGTGATTCCCTTTTTTCTGTAAATACTAGGGTTTTTTTTTTTGCTTTTTCTATGGGTTTCTTTGATTTTGTATATAAATCATAAAGTGTTTGTTTGTAATTATTTTCAACCATTTTTTGTTCTTTCATATCCATAGTTTAATAGTTTTGTTTTATTTGTATGCTATGCTTGATTCTTCAAGAGCATGGAATGCTTGTCTGGTTGTATATAAAGCATGCTTGTCTGCTTGTATATAAAGCATTATTGTTGCTTTTTAGAAAGTGACTCCTATTAAAATACATTATTGTTGGGTTCGAGAATATGTAATATGGAATTCTTGTCTTCTTGTGTGCTTTTATTGTTTAGTTTAGGGTCTACAACTATAAGAACATACATTATGTTTGCTTTAATTGTTGACTTTTATGTCAACTACTTTTGTGTCCACACATATTTATTGTCGGCTTATATGTGTTGTGCATATCCTGATTCAGAAAAATTTACTGTTGCAATTCATTATGGTGAGAATTTTATGTTTTCGTATGTATGAAAATACACTTCCAAATCTGTTGCATATTTTGATCTTGTTGATTGTGATACCTTCTCCATGTTAGAAGTATGTGATATAATAGACAAAGTTAGGTTTGGGTGGTGCTTTTGAAGTGTATTGTCGAGTACCAGATGTTTCTTTAACTAAATATTCCATTAGGCCATTGGTAACTGATTCTGATTGCATGATAATGGTTAACAACCTACCTAGTAATAAATACATTCAAATTTATCTGTTTTTTTTTGATAGAATAAGGCCTCATTAAAACCCCCTTCTTATCCTCCATGTTACAAACATAACATGAAGGACATTGGAAGGAGGGAAAGAGTGCTCTAACTTTTATTAATAGGAACAATAATACACCTCCACATCTCTACAACAACAACTTCTTACACAACAAAACAACCATAATTCTGAAAGCATAAAACACCCTAATACACTTTTAATAGTAACAACCAAGACAACACCTTAACAGTTACACAACTAAAATCAGCCTATGCCAGCTTTGGCTAATTCATCAGCTTCCCAATTAGCTGCTCTCGAGATATGCCTTGTGATAATACCCTTCATCTCCACAGTAGAAGCTATATCCGTTACCAAGGATTGGAACAAAGTAGAACTAAGGATCGGATTATTAATCCACTTCAGAGCATTTGAAGAGTGTGATTCCAAAATAAACCTCTGTTTTGAATAGAAATCAGTTTCAACTTCCTCAATAAGAATCAACCCTCTTTTAATAGCCAAAAGCTCCGCGAGCAGAGGAGGACCTCCCCCAACCTTCTCTGAAAAAGACCCAAGCACCAACCTGCTGCCATCCCTAATCAAGCCACCTATACCACCCTTATCCCAATCTTTAACCATTGCACCATCAACGTTTACTTTTAAAAACCCTTCCGGAGGAGGACTCCACCTGGAAGAAGGAAGATTCTTCTTATGCGAATTGCCCAGTTGATCTGCAAGTTTTAAATCACCCATCAAAGAATCGAAATGAAAGTGAACATCCTTAACTGATGTTTCAAACCAAGAAACAGTTCTGAAACGTGTAATGAAGAACAACAACACTGGATCAACCTTCCCATTCTGAAAAATCACTTCATTCCTACATTTCCAAACAGACCACAATACTGCTCTTGGAATAAACTTCCATATGTGAGATCGTGGCACTAGATCATCCCAGGCCATAAAGAAATCCATCAACGAACCAGAAACCACAAAGAAAACATTCCATAAATTTAAAAACTTAGCCCACAAGGCTCATACCACTTCGCAGTGAAGAAATAAATGAGTGACCGACTCATTAAACTTCCTGCACATAGGGCAGACAGAGTCTTCAACCCCAGTTACTCCTCTCTTCAGCAGTTTCTCTTTCACCGCTACTCTATGATGAGCAAGTTGCCAAACGAAAGATTCCACACGAGGTGGAGCTATTCCTTTCCAAACATATCTTTCCCAATTGCTTTCTAATTCAACATTACCTTCTCTATCAAAATAAGCATTCACACATGATTTTGCTGTAAACAAGCCCTCTCCATTTCCCAACCAAATCCAACAATCTTCCTCAACTAGGGACAAAGAAGAGTTGTTCAACAGAGAAATAATTTGCAGCCACTGTTCAACCTCCCAATCTACCAAATTCCTTCTCGTTTGAATATCCCAAACCCAACCCGCATCAGAATGCAATCTGAATTCTGCAACCTTACCCTCTTTATTATTCGAAAGAGCAAATAACCTTGGAAACCTATCTTTAAGAGGAACCGAACCCAACCAAACATCATGCCAAAACTTAACTGTTTCTCCATTTCCTGCTCTAACACACAAATTTCTCCTAAAACAGTCCCCAAATGCATCACATGAGAAGAAATTCTTAACAATTCCTCTCCAAATCCAAGAAGTATGAGCTGTCCAAGAATTCCGAATCATCAAAGAATTAGGATCCAAATTGTAGACACAGCACAAAACAGATTTCCACCAAGAGTTTTTCTCTGCAGTAAATTTCCACACCCATTTCCCCAAAAGAGCCCTGTTTAATAACAACAGATTCGGGATCCCTAAACCCCCCAACTTCTTAGGCTTACACACCAAATCCCACTTAATCCAATGAATGTTCTTTTTCTCTGATGCTCCCCCCATAAAAACGATGCCATGATAGAGTTTAATTTATTGAGAACGCTACTAGGGATTCGAAAAATAGAAAGGTAGTATATTGGAAGAGAGCACAAAACGGATTTGACCAAGACATCCCTTCCAGCCAGAGATAAAGACTTGGCCTTCCAACCAGCCAAACTCTTATAAAATTTTTGAACTACCGGTTCCCACATGGAAAAGGAATTCCTCTTGGCCCCCAATGGAAGACCTAAATACTCCGATGGAAAAACTCCCTTTACACACCCTATTTCCTTTGCCCATGAAACTAACTCCTCCTCTCCCACGTTAATTCCAAAAATTCTACTCTTGGACAAATTCAACTTCAAACCCACCAGCAGTTCATAAATTAGAAGCACCCTCCTAATATTCACCAAGTCATGACTAGAAGCCTTACTAAAAATTATTAAGTCATCCGCGAATTGCAAATGAGATAGCATGAAAGAACGATCATTAAAGCCTAATTGAAAACCCGAGAAAAGCCCATTGTTCACTGCTTTCACCAACATTAAATGTAGCAATTCCCCTCCCAAATTAAACAACAAAGGGGATAACGAGCAGCCCTGCCTTAGACCTCTAGTAATGTTGATTTTCTCCGTAGGAGTGCCATTTACCAAGACTGAAATAGAAGCTGTTGAAACACATTTATACATCCAAGAACTCCATCTAGCTCCAAATCCCATTTTACTCATTATTTTCAACAAGATCTTCCAATCAACCGAATCAAAAGCTCTTTTGAAGTCCACCTTAAAGACAACTCCCTTCAATCCTTTTTTCCTCCAGCAATCAATGCCTTCATTTGCTATAAACGCACAATCTAAAATATGTCTCCCCGGAATAAATGCGAATTGTGATGGACTAATAACATCATTAATACACAAGCTTAACCTTCTAGTTAGAACTTTTGAAAGAATTTTGTAGAAACCCCCAACAAGACTAATAGGCCTAAAGTCTTCAAGCCCTTCCGGATTGTCCCTCTTTGGAATAAGAGAGAGAAAAGAGTGGTTTGTTTCTATGTCCCATTCCTTACCCTCATAAAATTCCTTAAAAAACAGCAGTAAAACTTCCTTTAGATTTGGCCAAAACTTCTTAAAAAAGCCTAAATTCAGTCCATCAGGACCAGGTGCTTTGTTACTATCCGAATTAGCGATTACACCCCAAATTTCCTCTTCGGAGAAAGGCTTCTCGAGGGCCATACTCTACTGTTCCGAAAGCTTTAAAAAATCCAAGTCCAGTTCTTCAACTTCCAATGTATTATCCTGGTTTAACAACCCCTTGAAAAAGTGAACCACCGAATCTTTAATTAGATTTGGATCTGAAATGTCTTCATTATCAACTTTGATGGATTTGATGTTATTTCTCATCCCTCTACCTCTTGCACACTGATGGAAAAATCTGGTGTTTTTATCCCCATTCAAATTCCACTTCAATCTTGACTTTTGAAACCAAATCAGTTCGTCTTTTTTATACAAGTCCCACAACTCTTTCTTTGCTACCACTAGGTTCTTCATAGACACCAGGGAGAGACCTTGCTGCAAATTAAGTTCCATCACCTGAATTTCTTTTTCCAACCTATTTATTTTCCCAGGAATCTCAAGATAGCCCTTCCCAGACCATTTCTTCACTGCTCCCTGCACCCCTTTTAGTACACTAGAGATTGGTTGCCTATTCTCCACATCAAAAAGCTTGACAAGTTCTCCTTCCATCATCTTACAAAACCCATCCTCTTCCAAGACATAATTAAACAATTTGAAAGGTTTAGGGCCCCAATTCCAGCCCCTAATTTCCAACAAGATGATGTTATGGTCAGAAACAGACCTTTCAAGGAGTCTTTGAGAGATCATAGGAAACAAAGATAAAAATATTTGGTCCACTAGGAATCGATCTAGCCGCTCATAAGTTGGGATATCTCTATTGTTGCACCATGTAAATCTGCCTCCAACCATAGACAATCCAGAAGATTAGCTTTGCTCACAAAATCTTTGAAAGCAAACATTGTAGCTAAGTTAACTGCACCTCCGATCTTCTCTTCCTGTGACATTACCACATTGAAATCTCCTCCTAGACACATTGGACAGTCTATATTCTCTAAGAATGATAACAGCTCCCCAAAAAACGCCTCCTTTTCTGAATCAACACTAGGACCATACACATTTATGAACCAACATGCTCCTTGTGCCTCATCAATAATACCTTTAACTGCTACATATCTCCTATGGATGACCTCCTCTATAACCTTACACTCTACCTCATTCCACAAAGTAATCAAACCTCCAGCAGAACCTTCAGATGCTGAAATTACCGATGCTGTCAATAAATTACCTCCCATTTTCCTCACAACCGACGGGGTCAACACTTCCTTTTTCGATTCCTGAATGAAAAAGGTTAAAGGCTTTATCTTATCAACAATCCTCCTTACAGCTCTAGCCTTTATCCTCCTACCCAAACCTCTAACATTCCAAGTCAATAAATTCCAACTAATCATCTATATCCTATCAAAACCTTGTAAACCATCACCCTTTAATTTCCCCCATGTACTCCTCTCTCCTTAATCAATGGAATTGCTCTGTTCATAAAAGCTTTTTTCCCCCCTCTAAATGTGACCCCCAACAATTTACTAACATTCCAGCTCTCTAATGCCTCTGTCCCCTCCTCCTCCTCATTGCTATTTACATAATCCGAACTTGTACCTAAACAGCTCCTAGTTCCCCTTGACCTAGATCTTGAATAAACATGTTTGTATATGCCCCTTCTCAATTTACTCCCATATACAGTCCCCGAATTCCTTTTGGAGGTCAGGGAAACAGATCCCACTTGCACAGAAGTTTGCCCTTGCATAGCATTATTTTCTGTTATTTCGAAACAGTCACCCTTGCTTAGACTCTCCTCCTCTTGCTCCAGCCCACTCCTGAAATTTAAAATCGGGCCCCTAATAGGCCCATTTTTACAGTCAACTATATCATGCTCTCTAAGGACATCTCCCAAACTTTTCTCATTTTCTCTCCCCTCATTAATTTCTTCTGACTTATCCCGCTGTGTAGAGACATCACCTACTTCTGTCACTTCTTTGCACAAGTCAATTGTATTTTCCCTTCCTATGTTTAAATTCAAACCTCCCTCAGTAGTTGTGTTTTTGCCATGTTGAGAACTTCTAACCCCATACTCAATCCTATTTTTGGTTACTGACAACTCCTGAACTGCCTCCTGCTCTTCTTACCGAATCTGCACGTCTTCATTGCTCCACTCCGAAGAGCTTTCCTCCCATGGATTCTCTGCAGCTTCTTCTATCTCCATATCTGATAATTCTGGGAAAAATTCCTCAGCACCATCAACTTTAATTTTAATCATGAATTTTCTCCCATACATAGTGATGATGGTTTGATTTGGAATGTCAAAAGGACTCTCAACCCTTAGTAGCAGCTGCGCCACTCTGCAATCCACTCTATGTGCAGTTTGATCTTGGATTTTTACAACCTTACCCCATCTGGATGCTAAGCTAGTAAAGAACGGGACCGACCAACAATTTAATGGGACACCAATTATTGAAATCGCACAATAAGCTAATGGGATACCCCCCCCTCCTCTACCACCGGCTCCAATATATCAAACCAGAACGTTAGAGCATCCCATTTTTCTTCCATTGCAATTCTTCTCTCATCCACCGACTGAAACACCACCAGACACGCATTCTTCACACATCCCCACCTTATCACCTTAACTTTGAAGCCCTCATTTCGTAAGGCTTTCTGCACAAATTCTACTTCAAAAATCTCTTTGCAAATGCCAGTAAGTGAAGATCTCAACCATAATCTCTCTTCCATCGGAATAAAGACATCCAAAGATTTCTTCTCTTCCTGTGTATTCTTTTGACTGTTTACTTGATGACCTTCTGGAACTTTTTTCACCCCAACCACAATGTCTCTATAAGTTCTTCCATCATTGAACTTGTTCATTCGTTCCATTTTCTCATTCACTTGCACTGAAGAAGCCATTCGACTGCCCTTCCACTCTCATTTTTCTACCCTTTTGAAGCCCTCCTCAGTATTCCCTTG